TATTGAGCGCAATGAAGCCATGCATCATATATAGATTCTACGAGCTCATTGCACAAATGCATGCTCCTTGAAAGGAATTATGAGCTGAGGCTGCGAGGGCACAGACACAGGTCTCGGCTCTCTGTGAGCTAAAACAGTCCCCTGTCAAACAGTCCTCCCCTTTTGAGGGGTCAGAAAGCACATGCTGATTGCGACAGTTCTTTTGTCATCCGCAGACAGTGCGGAGCGATTGGGGCTGGCACCGACAGCAGGTGCGAGTGGCGGCTGCTGCCCCGATTGCCTCTCAGGAGCAGGGGGAGGTGGAGAAGCCCTGAAAGGTGATTGGGGTGGGCAGCCGCCACTCGCACCCGCTGACAGCGCTGAACGATAGGGGCTGGCGCCAGGCACTGGCAGTGGGTGTGAGTGGCAGCTCTGGCTTCGGCAGTGGGTGCGAGCAGGGCCAGCACCAGCAGCAGGTGTGAGTGCCAGGCGGGACCGTGGCGCACAGGAGCAAAGAATTTTCAGTAACCACCAGGGGCTCACCCTAATGACAGCAACCAGAGCCCCGCCTTGGTCTGGCGTCCCTGCTCACCTGCTCCACCATCCTGCCGCGGCTGACGTCTGCCATGTTCTGTGCGTGCCTCCTGGTGGTCAGCACACCTCATAGTGACTGGTTGTTCGGTTGTTCCACCGTTTGGTCTATTTGCATATTAGCCTTTTATTATATAGGATATATATATATATATATATATATATATATATATATATATATGCCTAAGCGATTGTTACAACTGGTCGACAGAACGACCAGTCGCTATGTGGTCAGTGGCCAACCTTCCATGGTCCCTCCCTCTGGCTGGCTTCCACGGTCCCTCCCTCTAGCTGGCTGACCTCAATCGGGACTGGGCGAGATGGCCCCGAGGGCTCCCACCTGTGCACGAATTCATGCACCAGGCCTCTAGTGTAATAATAATGTATCTGACTTTGCAAGGAGTGCTGTATGTGACTTTGCAATGAGTGCTAAAAGGAGTTGGTGTCCTGGAGCTTCTGGTGTGCGTCTGTGTGTTTCACACCCCAACTGCATCTTATCTTCTCACTCCATTGTTTTCCTGTCCCCAGTTTCTCAAATTACTTACCACAGTATTGTTCCACTTTACATATTTTTTTCAAGTCACTTCAATAAATTGTTTTTGGACGGACATTCAGACAGGGAAGTCACACCCACATTAATTGTTGGGGGGACTGAAGGGGCAGCAT